AAAAACGTTCCGAAACGTTGTTTCGACGTCTGAGATTTACGTCTTGAACGTTGTTTCCACGTTTGAAGTTTACGTCTTTAAAACGTTTTAAAGACGTCCCGAAGTAGACGTTTCAAGAGACCAGTTTTATATTAATTCTATTCTTATATTCTTTTTGTTAAATTTCTTTGACTAAAATGTGATGGTTTCAGGTTTCTTTAAGCATGAAGGACGTCGATCAAGAAACCGGTAGAGATATGAACCCAGTGGTGGCTGTCGCTAAGACTGAGGAAGACGAGAAGCATTTGCGCAATCCCGATAGACCAACTTCGTTGCTGGAACTGCAGGGCAACTGGGACGAGGACGAGACTTGTTCCAGGAAGCGTGTGCAGAGGCTGTCGTCTCCCGAGAAGTGGGAAATAAAGCAGATGCTTGCTGCGTCTTGCATCGACAGGAACGAGTTGCCAGAGTTCGATATGGAAACTGGAATTCTTCCACGCGAGGACGATGAGGAAGAGGACGTGGAAATCGAGCTAGTGGAAGAGGAACCGCCATTTCTGCATGGCCACGGCCGGGCTCTTGGAGATCTAAGTCCTGTTCGCATTGTTAAAAATCCTGATGGTTCTTTGGCGCAAGCTGCAATGATGCAAAGTGCTCTGGCGAAAGAGAGGAGGGAACAGAAAATGCTGCAGAGAGAGCAAGAAATGGACTCTGTGCCGACAGGCCTCAATAAGAATTGGATTGACCCTTTGCCAGAAGCTGAGAGCAGGACTCTGGTAGCGAATATGCGAGGAATTGGTTTGCAGACCCAGGACCTTCCTGAATGGAAGAAGCACGTGATAGGCGGCAAGAAGTCGTCTTTTGGAAAGAAAACGAATCTAACTTTGTTAGAGCAGCGCCAGAGCCTGCCGATATACAAGCTCAGAGACGATCTAGTAAAGGCAGTCACTGATAATCAAATTTTGATAGTAATTGGCGAAACAGGCTCAGGAAAGACCACCCAAATCACACAGTACTTGGCCGAGGCTGGGTTCACTGCTCGTGGGAAGATCGGATGCACTCAACCCAGAAGAGTGGCTGCTATGTCAGTCGCCAAAAGAGTGGCTGAAGAATTTGGTTGCCGTTTGGGACAAGAAGTAGGCTACACGATTCGTTTCGAAGACTGTACCGGCCCGGAGACCAACATAAAGTACATGACTGATGGTATGCTGCTGCGTGAATGCCTTATGGACCTTGATCTGAAAACTTACTCCGTTATAATGTTGGACGAGGCGCATGAACGCACGATTCACACCGATGTCTTATTCGGTTTGCTTAAGCAGGCAGTAGGAAGAAGGCCAGACCTCAAGCTCATCGTCACGAGTGCCACTCTGGACGCTGTGAAATTCTCACAATACTTTTTCGAAGCTCCAATCTTCACTATTCCTGGCAGAACGTTTGAGGTAGAGGTGATGTACACGAAGGAACCGGAGACTGACTACCTGGATGCTGCGCTGATTACAGTGATGCAGATTCACTTGAGAGAGCCACCAGGCGACATATTACTTTT